ATATTGTGGCTCTATTGAAGCAATATACACATGTCAGAACTAACAATTAGAAAAGCAAAAGGGTCTATTCAACATATAGCAGCTTATATCTAAATATATACATGTATGTATATGTTTTCACAGTTAGAACTTAAAAAATTTTACATTTGATATGTTCAGAAATATTTCTATCATCCTTAGTCTATAAATATTTTAAAAGCTCAACTGATTAAAATGCAGCACAAGAACGTATCAAATTAAATAAATCTTCTAAATCTTTAAAAACAGACAGTTGAAGTCAGTAAAGCTTGAGGTTTGTGTAAAGTGTATTCTGTCAGTCCCTACTATTAAAAGGAGGGAAGGCAGAGTCTTCTAAATACGATAGGAGAGAAACTCCAAAACTTTGGAAGGAATCGGCAGCTCCTGGACTTCTTGGGTGGGCATCACTCTTCGGATTGACAGGCGACATAAATGTTGAAGGCTTGGGACTTGCCTTGGAGTGGCCCAAAAATACACACTTCCATCATGTGTCCTAAACAGAAACGAAGCATAAGCTTAGTTACTCAAGCACGTGTATTTCGACATCCCTACAGCTCAAATAATTATCATCCAAGGCTGTGTATTAGAGTCACTAACTTCACATTAAAACTTAACTAAAGAGAACAAACCAATGATATACCCTATGATAAGGAAATAATATTATAAAGAGCACTTATTGGTGAATTACTGACAATAAATTACTGGCTGCTTTACCTAAAAGCCACCTTAAACTCCCCTAACTATCCCTTAGAGAAAAGAGAAAAATACATTACCCAGCAGCTAAAACACTGCCATCAGTAGAAAAGGCACAACAAAGACCATTGCTCAAAGGTGCAACTTGTATTGGATAATCCTCATCAATTCTCCAGAATCTCACCATTCTGGAAAGGAAATAAATTATGTAGTGAGTATCTAGTAGGAAATTTAAGGTAAAAGCAACTTTTAAAATTTAGAAAGAAATGCCATTGTGTTCTGAGTCACAAAATACACACACAAATAGCACTGCAACAGGTAATTACTGTAACTTACTTTATAAAATATTTTAGTCTATACCAGTTGGTAAGTTGGATCAACTCACACTTAAGAGACAGAGAGTACAATGCACGGCTACCTTCCCTTCCCAGTGTTCAGACCTAAAATGTTCACAACTGGGAAGTTTTCCCCTTACTTTCTTACACTTAAAAGACAATTATCTGGCTGGGCGCAGTGGCTCACACCTGTAATCCTAGCACTCTGGGAGGCCGAGGCGGGCGGA